CATTTGTAATCATCAAAATTAAACGAAATAAACATTTGAAATATATGAGTTTGTATGTAATGTATGAATATAATATACAAGTTTCACTTTTTAAATGGAAAACTGAAATAAATCTACTTTTTCATGATATTCTAATTTTATGACCAGCACCTGTAAAAGGAGTCAGTTTAATCCAACTTAATAATGCTGCTGCTCAAAGAAGCATCAGAAATAGGCAAATTATCCTGTATTATTAATAAATTTATTCCCTGATCTTATAGACTCAAACAAAATGTATCATTTGTTTCACTAACTGTACAGTCACTTAGTTAAGGATCTTAATTAAATGATTTCACGTTTTTGGTTTTTTGCTTGTTTGTTTGTTTCAGATAAATTATGTTTTTTATTAAACTTAAAAGAACTCAGTCCATTTCAACGTAACAAATGTATTTTGTTTAAAAAATGTCTTGGTGTAAGATAAATATTAGTTGTGGAGCAATAAAACATATATCAGATGCTCTTGTTTGGTTAAAATACATTTTTAATTTCTTGAACTGATCCTGAATGTGGAGGGGGACGGATGGAACACAAAAACACATTCATCACTAAACAATATTTGTTTCTGTGCGACTTGTTCGGTCTGTGTTTGGTTGACTTCCTATTCTCCTTTTTCTTTTCCACCACAAGGCTGTGCTTTTAGGTTTTATTCTTAGATCGAATGGTAATCAAAAATATTTTTTTATTTTCTTCTCCGCCTCCACTCCATTTGGTTTGTCATGGGTGAGTTTGTGACAGGAAGCGCTTACTCATCCTCGTGTGTAAGTGTGTGTTTGTGAGAGAGAGTACAGAGGTTTTTTATTTAATTAATTTTCTTTCTCACAGATCGTCATACTTTTGGGAATAATTTAAACTGACTTCAATTCAATTGCATGGTTTCAGGTAAACAGAGAAAATCTAAGTAATGGTCACAAAAACAAATAGATCTTATTTTTAAGTTCTTCATCTGCTGTATAAAAAAGTGAGGATTCAAGTGTACATTTAAAGGGATATAATGTCAGTAAAATAAATATTTATATACATGTAAAAACTAGGTTGTTTTTATTTTGGGTCATGTGTCATCACGTGGCCATTCAGTCATTGTGGCTAACCACTGAAGGCTAACGGCTGATAATGTTTTTGTGTTCAACTAATCAAGTTCAAGATGGCCGCCACAGCCACCTGATCGTAGAAAATATCAAAAACAATTGTTGGAACTGTCTGTTTTACAGATACTGTGCTACAATTTGCTAAGATCTTAGCTGACAGTCATTTACAACACAAACTGGTGGCGTCAACCCCATTTCTGTTAGTAAAATATCCTATGAACCACCACATGGATAAAAAACAGAGAATCCAATCCGACAGTGGTGAGCAGCGCTAATTTAAATTTTAGTTGCGCAATTTCTAAAGCACTAGTCAATTTATTTAGGTCCACAAGTTCAAAAGCACACACGATCAATAAAACTTAGCAGAAGCTAAGTTAAAGTGCAACATAACCTCTGTTTACCAGAAAACATTCAGGTTAAAAAAATAATCAGCACTTTACTACCATCTGCTGACTGAGGGGTCGCTGTTTCCTCACAGTGGAGGTCCGTTGATGGCTTTCTCCTTCAATGTTCAAGAAAATCATGATAAAGTTATAATGAATTATGTGACTACAAAATGTAGTGAGACTAGACGGCTTTTTAGCTTTGTTTTAGATGAAACTGATGTTTGAACGTGAAACATTATTTGCGATAAGCGCTACTCAGTTCTAAATTTAGAAAGCGCAAATCCGCACATCATTTTATGAAATTAGTGAAACCCCTAAAGCGCGATGCAGAAATTTAGGTCTGCAATTAGCGGATTTGCGCTTTCGGAGACTAGTGCCCACCACTGCAACATGACCACCACAGCTAAACAACTTAGCCAAAAAATTGTTTTATTTTAGTCAACAGTGCTTAAAATGAGCTAAAGTTTAGTGTGGTAGTAGCTGAGAGTCGTCCTCAGAAATGATTTACAACAAGACTGATTTGGATCCTTCTGTTTTACTGCTGACTTTCTTACATGATGCTAGTTTTTAAATGAAAAAACAACTTTGATTAAAAAAGTCACCAAAGCAGTTTTGTTTTATTTTGTTAGAAAMCACAATAAAGCAAAAACACGTCGTGTGATTCATGATTCTTGAGCACTTTCAGAAAACTCTAAACATAAAACACAAAAACCAGGTCAAACGAGGCTCCTGAAGACCACATTGTGACATTTCAAGTATGCTAAATTAGATAAGTGGCACACTTGGATCCTGACAAGTGAGTCTTAACTGGCCTCTTCAGCTGCACTCTTTAATCTGCCACCTTTTCCTTTCCACTCTTCAATTTGACAAACACGATTTGAAGTGAAGCCTCCCACGCAGTAAACAGCCAGCGGTGAGCTGCGAGTGGCTGAGGGAGATATATCCCACTCTGTGTTTACACATCAGGCAATCTCCAACAGCTGCAGCAAGCGGCCTGCTCGTCTGCTCCAGGCACACAAATGTCACCAGAGGTAAGCAAACAGCCTGTGAGTTGTTTGGAGCTAGCAGGTGAAGTTAGCAGGTATTGATCTCGGACTGGCAGTCAGACTGGGTGACGGTTAACCTCTTGGAAACGGCTCCCGCAGCCACCCGGAGTCATTTGGCTGCGTAAGCTGCTACCTCCTTCTCCAGGCTCTGGGCAAAGCGATGGTTAAGGAAGAGAAGCTGCCCGTGAGGGAGCAGGCGGCTGAGCAGAACGTCGATACGGCTGCTTTTCAGCAGGACCTGCAGGAGAAGTGACAATTATTTCATGACTGCAGAGTTTTAAATGGCAAAGCAACAGGCAAGAGAAAACCAAATGAAAACTAAACCATCCACCCTGTAGCAACAGGCCTTTATTTGGACCTGAAACAGTAGGACCAGTACCACAAGCAGAAGCTTGGTCCTCTTTTGCAGCACAAACATAAAGATCATTTAGTTTGTAAATTTCTTTACTTATTTTCAAATACATGACCACACCTTTAATTAGTACAGGGAGTGAGGCTTATTTAAGACACTTTGTTATATTTTCACAATATTAAAATATATTAGTTGTATGTTTTTACAATGTCAGATGAGCAAAACCTTTTAATTTGCATTAAAGTGCCTGTGACATGTATATTCTTCAAATACAAAAAGTCAAAGAAAACATCTTTATATTTAAGAAAGTTGGAATAATATGCACAATTTTACCCATTTTGTCCCATAACTGACATACTTTCTTTTGAACTTGGCTCAGCCAAAGTGAAACAGGAAGTGACATCAAAGGGGAACTGTTTAACAAAGAAAACTTTCTGGTCTTTGTTTATTAAAACAATATCATTTGAACTCTGACTCTTCTTCATCTCTCAAAATGACTCAAAATTTTCTTAAGAAACATCAGATTCTTCTCTACAGCCTGAGTTGTTAGCCGTTGCAGCGACGCTCTGTTCACATGCAGACATTCCCCTTTGACATCACTTCCTGTTACTTCACAGGCAAATTTCTCAACAACTGTTCATCTCAGCGACATGAAATTTCTTTTGCAATATTTTTATCAATGTCCTCTTTCTAAAAACGCATCATACATATTACAAAAATTTGACGTCACAGGCACTTTAAAGCAGTTTGACTAAAACATTAAAATTTTGAATTTTATGGCCAATTTGAAGAGAACTGAATGTCATAAAGCTGCAAAAATATATTTGGAAATGAACTAACAAACTATTAGCCTGATGGTAAAACTGATCTCTAAATTCTAAATACATTCTAGTGAAATATTTGGTCTTATTTATCTAATTCTGGTACTGAAATAATGAGAAGCTTTGTACATGATGTATGTACAAAAAGTAAGGAAATTTTTGTTTGGGGGATTATTGCTTAGTCGTAATAATGCATCTTGACTATAAATCTTATACTGTTTAAAAATGTTTATTTTTTCTTGAATGTGACACATTTGTAAGGAAAATTAATTTATGGGTTGAGTTCATGAAAAACTTGCCAAATCTTCTCTGCTGAACAACTTATTCTGCTATTGACGCCTGTGTTTTAGCTTCTGGTGCTCCAGGCGTTGATAATCAGGTGGCAGATTGTCATCACCTCAGAGCAGCTGTGGCAATCCCATATCTCCACAGCCTCGGTCCGAACTCTGTCTTCCAAGACGGCAACACCCGCCGCCAGAGAGCAGATTTATCAGGGACTACGTCCAGAATTCAGCTGTGGAGAGGATGGAATTACCTGCCTGCAGTCCTGAACTCAACCCCACTGAACACCTATGGGATCAGCCTGGATGCTGTTTGTACCAAAGTGACCAYCACGATTACACTGGCTGACTTACAACAGTAAACTGATGAGCAGCATGAGGAAGAGGATGGCGCCAAAAATAAGACTACTGTGCATTCTTGTAGCAGGAGGATATAGCTATTCATCCAGTTATGGATCTGATTAATGACAGGCCGGCACTTGTAACTGGCGCTGGCAAAAAAAAAGGAGATTATTCATTTGCGTTAGTATTGGATCCGAGAGGATGTCATTGTGATGCAACTGTTGAGGGGGCCCACCATGTTAAAGATGATCGCCGAAAAAAAGCACAATGAAGTCGGTGAGAGCTATCGCGCTTACTGGTGTTTACGGTTTAGCTATCGTGTATGTTTAGAGACACACATTCATGGATGGTTAACTTCACAAACACACAAATATGTGTTTTGATGACATTTAACTCACATGGTATTTCTTCACATCTGTCCAGTAGCTCTTTTGCTGCGGGAGTTTGTTCTCTCTTTTGTCTGTTTTGCWTATCCAAGATGTAGCGTAGCAACGTAATCCTTACATATCCAAGATGTGGCGTAGGACATTACCCACAGAGTTCGGATCATTAATTGCCATGGCAGAAACAAAAAGCCGATTACACACTTGACTGTTTTTTGTCGGAGTGAAGTCGTGACGGTGAAGCACATTGAGCCACAGCTTTCCTCTTGAAGCAGCTTTACTAAACTTTCCTAGAGGAATTTGATAAAAGGAGCAAGTTTCTCTTTTATCTTTTACTTGATCACGTTGCCTCAAACAATTACACACACTATAAAACTCACTTTTCCCCATTGCTATCTTTGGAAAAAATGTAAACACCCGACTCGCACAGCGAATGATCCCTCCTGCTTCCAGTGAATGCGCGAAAACCCTGTGTGCGTTATAACCAAAATGTGCAAAGGTCTGGTGTTGAGAAAGTTTTTTGTATTCAAATAAGTTTGTGTCTAATAAAGTAGGTGAGCAGCCTAGGCATGCTAGTCACTAGCTTCTCCAATCCTAACGCCAGCTTATCCATGCTAGTCGTTAGCCTCGTCGATGCTAACYCAAATGAATAGTCTTCTTCTCATTTGCCAGTGCCGGTCTCTCAATRACCGGTGCCGGCCTATCATTAAACATTAATCAGATCAATAGCTGGCTTAGGTTTTGGCCCTCATACTGCACCAAAGAAAAGGTGCCAGGCTGTTGTGGCTGTATGTGGTTCTTCCACACGCTACTGAGGCTCCTTTTTATTAAATGAAAAAAATATTCAAATGCCTATCTGTCTTGTTTCTTAAGACTTCAATCCACTCCAGTAAAGCTTCCCCAAGAATTATTTTTCTTTGACTGCTCAGAGCCAGGCAGTGGCCTAAGTACCGTAATGCAAAGGGGTCTCAAATTCAATGCCACACAGACCATTGTCATGGAGTCCCATCACCATTTTGTGGRGACTGAGCAGGTTGTGCCCAGTTAGGACTCCAACCAGTGTACTTGTCAGGGTGATGAGAGCTTTCCCAAACCTTAGATTTGGGCCATTTATCAGTTCATGAGCCAAACAACAGTCAGTGTTGGCAGAATAAGCTGTTCAACATAGGCAGAGAACATGTGGCGAGGTTTTCATGAGCTCAACCCACAAATGTGTTTTTCTTACAAACATGGTATAATTTCAGGGAAAACAAAGACAATTTTGATTGTTAAAACTGAGAAATAATCGACAAAATACACATTTCTTTACTTTTTGTGCTGGGTTTAGTAACTGATGTTCACCCAGAAAAATCTAATCTACACGTAAAAAAGAAAAAAAAATGTATAGGTCTTCTGGACGGGTTCTTCTCTAATGAAACGTTTCGTCTCTCCTCCAAGAGACTTCTTCAGTCTGTTTCAGGCTAAATTCAGGCTTTTAAGCACTGCCTCCATGTGACTGATACTCACATCACATGGCTATCGTTGACACCTAATTAACACTTATTGTTAACAGGGGGTTGAGTGATACTGGCAATAGCAGCACTGTAGGAGGGGGACAACTGAAACCAGAGGCCTCCACCTCTGTTTAATGATGGACGGTCTTTCTTCACAAAAATGGCTTCTTTTACTCCTCTCTCAAACCAACGTTCCTCTCTTTCAAGAAGGAGAACATCCTCATCTCTGAAAGAGTGACCGCTGGCCTGTAAATGAGTGAAAACTGCAGAGTTCTGGCCATTAGATGTAGCTCGTCTGTGTTGGGACATTCTTTTGAACAGTGGCTGCTTTGTTACACCGCTTAAACACAAAGTTACTCAAACAAAGCGGCCACAGTTCAAAAGAACGTCCCAACACATACGAGCTACGTCTAATGGCCAGAACTCTGCAGTTTTCACTCATTTACAGGCCAGCGGTCACTCTTTCAGAGATGAGGATGTTCTCCTTGATAGAGAGG